TTTAGGTGTCGGTGAACCTTTTTTGTCTTGGGTTAAATCATACTTAAGTGGAAGAAGTCAGTTTGTCCAATTATTTGGTATTTCATCCAAGATCTTTCCTACTCCTAGTGGTGTACCTCAAGGTAGTCATTTAGGTCCTTTATTATTCAATATTTTTATAAATGGGATTTTTTCTATTGCCTCTCCATGTCGTATTATTCTTTTTGCTGATGACGCTAAAATATTTTATAAAATATCTAAAGTAGATGATTGTTTGACTCTCCAAAAAGTCTTAGATCAATTTGTCATTTGGTGTAAGACAGTTGGTTTATGTCTTAGTGCTGGAAAATGTAAAGTCATGTCATTTTACCGATCTAGTGAAATGATAAATCACAATTATTTTCTCGACAATGTAGTGTTAAAACGGGTCTCCCAAGTAAACGATCTGGGTTTTGTTTTTGTCCCCTCGCTAGATTCTAGACCACATATTGACCTCATAGTTGGTAAAGCTTTGCGTATGTTAGGATTTATTCGTCGCAATACAACACATTTTAAATCTCGTGACTGTTTAGTGGCTCTATATTGTTCTCTCGTGAGATCGATTTTAGAATATGGTACCTTGATCTGGTCACCTTATACAGCGGTCGACAAAAGTCGTATTAACAAGGTCCAAAACAGATTTCTAGGTTTCGCTGGTTATACCCTTAATATTGCCCATCCAGCCCATGATTACGGGCCCATAAATGAAATCCTTAAGCTTGAGTCTCTAGAACTTAGACGTAAAACATTTGGCAAATATTTCATTGACAAACTATTACATGGTGATATTGATGCCCCACGTTTAATTGAGCGACTTGATATCCATGTCCCCAGTAATACTAGGTTTCAGTCCAAATTTTATGTCCCTTTAAGTAGGTCTAATTTCTCCAAAAATGCACCATTAATTAAATTAATGCGAGAATATAACGAAAGTCTTTAGCTTGTACGGAGTCACATACATTTATTATTTTTATATTTGTTATTATTATTATTAATATTATTTATATTTTTTATATTGTTTGTTATTTTACATATTTCACTGTTTCTGTAATTTATTCTATATGTTTTACATTGTATCTTTTCAAAAAGCCGATTGGCGTTTATAAATAAATAAATAAATAAATAAATAAATAAATAACCTGTATCAAATCTTTATTATGCAAAAAAAAAATTTCGGACTTCATTTTATCTTCACGGTGAAAATGGCTACCGAATGCTTTTTTTGTGTGAAAATTTTCGATTTTGTATTTTACATTTTTAACT